TCTGCCAACCCAGAGATGTCCAGTTGGGGATTATGGGAGTTGGGAGTCCAGCGTTTGAAGGGGGAACATGGGCCAAGGGAAAGCAGCAGTCGGAGACTGCAAATGAAGCATGAATGCTTCAAATGAAGTCGGGAACAATCATGATAAAGAAAAGCTCCTCATGCTTGAAATGGTCACCTGTGCTAGTAGTTGCAATCCAGGGAAGAGGGATGAAGACTAAGATAGCAACTAAGATAGCATGCCTTGAGTCGCCATGGGCGAATAGGCGGCAATATAAATTTAATAATAAATAAATAAATAAAATTCTACACCCCCCCCCTGTTTGAGTTCTCCACCATTTTGTCCAGGTAGCCCTGTTGTGTATTGCTATAGGAAAGTTTACTCAATTAACAATCATGATAAAGAAAAGCTCCTCATGCTTGAAATGGTCACCTGTGCTAGTAGTTGCAATCCAGGGAAGAGGGATGAAGACTAAGATAGCAACTAAGATAGCATGCCTCGAGTCGCCATGGGCGAATAGGCGGCAATATAAATTTAATAATAAATAAATAAATACAATTCTAACCCCCCCTGTTTGAGTTCTCCACCATTTTGTCCAGGTAGCCCTGTTGTGTATTGCTATAGGAAAGTTTACTCAATTAACAATCATGATAAAGAAAAGTTCGTCATGCTTGAAATGGTCACCTGTGCTAGTAGGGGCAATCCAGGGAAGAGGGATGATATCCAAACACAGGGATGGCTAAGATAGCAACTAAGATAGCATGCCTTGAGTCGCCATGGGCGAATAGGCGGCAATATAAATTTAATAATAAATAAATAAATACAATTCTAACCCCCCCTGTTTGAGTTCTCCACCATTTTGTCCAGGTAGCCCTGTTGTGTATTGCTATAGGAAAGTTTACTCAATTAACAATCATGATAAAGAAAAGTTCGTCATGCTTGAAATGGTCACCTGTGCTAGTAGGGGCAATCCAGGGAAGAGGGATGATATCCAAACACAGGGATGGCTAAGATAGCAACTAAGATAGCATGCCTTGAGTCGCCATGGGCGAACAGGTGGCAATATAAATTGAATAATAAATAAATAAAATAAAATAAAGCCACTAGTCCTGTCACTGGGGAGCAGCCTGGGCGTCTCCGCAGGCTTTTGGGAGAAAGAGAAAGGGCTGAGGATTTCTGAAAGGGAGGGGAAGGTCTCTGTGGAGTTTTTGGAAAGCCAGGAAGATCTTGGGATGGAGGGGCCGATTTCCCCCAAGCGCAGCCTGCCCTCTTTGGCCTGATGAGTGGGGAAGGGACTTACTTCCAGTGAAGGCTATCCAGCGTGCGTACTTCGTCGCTTCCCGTCGCCAGTGAGAAGCCACCAGCAAGCCGCAGGTGACAGTCAGTGAAATGATTCCCATGATGATAAAAAATAACGTCGTGATCCACTCCGGAGGCAGCCGTGGCGGAATGCAGGTCCTGTCACGTCCATGGATGGTTTGACACTGTCGCACAAGGCCAACGGTGAGAGCACCTGGAATGACACACAAACACACACAGAAAGAGGTAGACGACACGGGCATTAATTAACATACGTTCTGGAAGCAAGGGACTATTAACATGGGCCTATCTCGATTTGGCTTCCTCCATCTTCTGGACAGGGTGGATCTGATTTAAATCGAGTCGATTTGAATCGCATTTTCAAATCATGATCACTAGTAAAAAGGCTGGCTTTAAATCAACTTGATTTAAATCAGGTTTTTTTTTTTCAAAAATAGTATTTATTACCTTTCCCAACATTTAAAAGACAAGACACAAATTTAGACTTGTAACAGCTTTTCCGTATCGGTATCCATATTTTTCATAACAATCCTGTTTACAAAAAAATCTATTTCTATACCATTATCCTAAGTTTATACCCTTATTTAGATACTCTGCACATTTACACATTTACCCTTTAGGTCTTAAGTTAAGTTTACTCTCAAGCCAGGAATGCCATTTATTCGAAATTTGATAGTGCTCAGTTTCTTCCCTCTCCTTCATTTTCATAGACAGTCTATCCATTTCTGCACATTTATAGATTTTCCTGCTTATAATCGGGTCTGGGGGGAGATATCTGTTTGTTTCCAATTCTGTGCTATTATAATTCTACTTGTAGTTAATATGTGTAATATTATCTATCGAAAGCTTTTTCTCCATTTTCCCATCAAAGATTCCCAGAAGGAACAATTCCGGCTTCAGCTCTTATCTTTTGCTCAGTTATCTCTTACAGCCATTTCCTCATCTTACGCCAATATTTTCCAACTTCGGGGTGGTTCCACCACATGTGGTAGAACGTTCCCTGTTTATGCCTGCATCTCCAACACTCCGCCGATCGGTCTGGAAACACCTTAGCCATTCTGGCTGGTGGTAGATGCCACCGGTAGAACATTCTGTAGAGGTTCTCCTTATAAGCAGCTGACATTGTTAGCTTGTAGTTTCTCTCCCATAATTTATCCCACAATTTTTAAAAAGCAACGGTCCCGCAGCGGCTCCTCTTCTGACCCACTGTTGACTCACCGACAGCCCCATTTGCTTTAATGGTACAGCTGGTGATGCGGCGGTGACACAAATGAGGGACGTGGCGGGGCAGCAGGTGAGTGGATGCCCGCTAACAGGCGCTGCCATGATGGCTCTGAAATAGCTATAGCACTTCAACTTATATACCGCTTTCACAGTGCTTTACAGCCCTCTCTAAGCGGTTTACAGAGTCAGCACATTGCCCCCAACAATCTGGGTCCTTATTTTACCCACCTCGGAAGGATGGAAGGCTGAGTCAACCTTGAGTCTAGTGAGATTTGAACTGCTGGCAGCCAGTGAACAGAAATAGCCTGCTGTACTCTAACCACTGCACCACTGTGGCTCTTTACAGGTGACAGGTGCTCTGGAGACTAAAACATACGAAGAACAGATGCAGGAACTGGGTATGTCTAGTTTAAGGGAACAGAAGAACTAGGGGAGACATGATAGCAATCTTCCAATATCTCAGGGGTTGCCACCAAGAAGAGGGAGTCAAACTATTGTCCAAGGTACCTGAGGACAGGACAGGAAGCAATGGGTGGAAANGCTGAATCCCACCACTCCTTGGAAGCGCTTCCTTTTAGCGCTTCCTGTGGCTATCCACAAGATAGGATCCTCAGTGTAGCAGCCAGGATGCCACTGCCAGGATACACACGCCCCCTTTAGCTGCCAGTTGCCCTACCACATCCCTTTACAACTTTTTTTCCAACGTCAAACTGAACAAAGCTAAAACAGACACAAACAATGGGTGGATTCACAGATTCCAGGCAAGGCCTGTTGACCCTTTGAGAGAAGAATCGATGGGAGTGGGGCCCTAGCCCGGGATTTTTAGGGAGTCAAAGGACCCACCTGCCCTGGGGATTGCCAACGAGAGTCCCTGCAGAAGGTATTGAGAAGGTAGGGACCCATCCAGGACAATGGTCAAGCCAACCTTGGTAAGCCATTTCTTTCGACAACAATAGGTTTCCTAAAAATAAAAAAAACTACATTATTGAAGTGAGATTCCTTTTTCTTGGTTTGTTTGCAACAGGGATTTTTTCCCCCCACTGTGTGGCAGGGGAAGTCCTCAGCGGTTCCTTCAACCACGGGCATTAGCATTGGCCTGCAAGCAATGAGGAAGAGGGTCTCAACTAGGGTCTGCTTGGGCCGGGTATGTGCGTGTGTGTGTTGGACTAGATGACCTACAAGGTCCCTTCCAACTCTGTTAATCTATATCTTTGAGCTAAGTTGATCAGTTGCACGATTTCTACAGCAAGGACCCTTACATCCAACACAACAGATTCGTAATGTTGCTTCGCATGCTTTGGGTGATGGGTGTTGCCCCCCCCCATGCTGCAGTACGCCCCGTTTTGGCTTACGTGGGTCAAATGGCAGAGTATTGGACATAAACCGAGGAGGGCAGGCCTGTTTCTGAATCAGGGATGAATTCAACTGACCTTTGCTACTGGTTCACAAACATGAGCACCTCCGCGCATGCGCAGAGCCTCAAAATAACATCCGGGCGGGTGGGCGGAGCCTGCTACCGAGCATGCCTGCAAAGGTAAGTAGAATAGGAGGGGGGGGGAATTCTCTGTGCCACGCAATTTAGATTAGCTAGAAAACAGGAAATCTGACAATTCCAGCTAATATAAATCAAGCGTCACAGCTGATCGTCGGAAAAAACGGTTCACCAAACCGGTAGAATTTCATCCCTGATCTGAATGTTAGCGATACTATTTCCCGAGAGGATCTGTCGAGAAAGAGAAAGACATTACCTGAAAAACAGGCAGGCCATTATATTAAAAAAAAAACCCTACACCCTTCATTATCCAACAATCACCTTGTTCTTTTGTGGAATGACAACAGAAGAGTTAATACTTTCAAAGTTGGGGGGGGGAAAGGCCTGGGTTTCCTTTGCTGTAGCTTTTGGGCGCTGTTTGGGGTCTACTGTGGGGGCAGATTATCTAGGCCAAAAGATGTAAAAGTGATGTGAAAGAACAAGACCTCTAAAAGAGGAGAGGCTGCCACGATTTAACAGGGCTTAAATTAGGCGTTCAATTGTTGGGTTGAATTTGGGGCTTTCAAAAAGAAGACATGATTTCATCTTTGACCATCAAGACTCAGATCAAGGAGGCT